TGACAAAGGGTTTTTAAACCCAAAAGCTTGCTAAGAAAAATATTACCAACTATTCAAGTTGGCTTAATAAAAAGATACCAGACTCACTCAAATAACCTTGTCTGCCCATGTAATGCTCTTACCACAGAGAAATTCCTATCTGTCAGGACAGACGTACCCACTGAAGGTCCTTCTAGTAATCCAGTTAGACTTTTAATAAAATAAAAACACAGCTTTTGCCACTCAAACCACAGTTCCCATTCCCTCTTGCTCACGTTTAATGACATACACGTGTTGAAAGCGATAACCCCATCTTCAGATAAATTTAACATCTATTTGTCATTTTAACAGACTTTTTTTACATTCTGAGTAGACTACTCTCTACTAGAGCTAGAAGAGATTCTGACATCTCTTGTGGGCAAGAGCTACGGTTAGCCAGAGCTTACAGAATCATGATAATCTGCAGTGCTGGACTTTGAATAGTACATTCAATTTTTGATTACTTACCAAACAACACAAGGCAGGGACCACCTGCAGATCACAGCAAGCACCCAGGAGGGCAAGGGTTTCATCAGGCAGCTCTGTGAAGTTTTAAAAGGAGAAAAAGTCACAGTCTCCAATGAGCTCTGCAGCAGGTTGGCTGTAGAAAAAGAGATGGTGTATATACAAGTGACCTAAGCCTGCAAATGTCCTTATGCAATTCTTACGCTGGGCAGGGAAAGGCCCACTGCCTCCTGGAGGGCTTTCCAAGTGCAGTGCTGCATGATTGCAACTTTGGAGAGCACTGCAGTCCTCCACAATTATCACCGTCCTGTACTGAGCGGTGTCAGGGGGCTGTACGCCCAGATGCCCAGGCCCTTCTTTGCAGGTGCACAGGTGGCTCTGGGGGCAGAACCAGTACATGGAAAAAAAAAGGGCGCAAAATCTCACACAGACTACCTCAGCTCTTGGGAGAAACACCTGGAAGGGAGCAAGTAACATTCATTCCACCTTGTCACAGCCAACCCCTAGGCATCTCTCCAGTGCCTGGCTTGCGTATTAGCTCAGGGTGTAAGTCTGAGGACAGGGTCTGTTCTATGCAATACCACCACAATCCCCAGAGAAGTAACAGCTACAAAGTGGCCTTTTTTTGGTTACAGCTCCAGCTCCAGTTACATGTGGATGTTAAAACTAAATGTTATGGCCAAAGCAAACTGATCAGTGTAACACACTTGATTAACTGCGCATCACTGCTTGTAGCACTTGACAAGTGCTGTTACACTAGTGACTCTGCTATGTTTGCTTTATTTTGCATCTCTGCAACTGGGTCTGCTGTCAGAATGTCTCCCTTACCTTTCATATACTGGCTGATCAGCTTTAAATGCAAGAAAATTGACATTCTGTTCTACAGTAGAGGTGCACCGATACATCAATCCGGTATCAGATCAGCACTGATTTAAGAAAACTGAGTGTATTGGAAATTGGCCTGATGTGGCCGATAAATGCCCGTGCACGTGTGCATCCACAGCGCAGTATGTAGGTTGGGAGGAGCACAGCTCGGCAGCATGGAGAGCTGCATGCAGTTGGTAAGTTTGGTGTGGCAGAAGGGGAGTGGGGAGGGAAGGGGTGTGGGGGTACAGATCAAGGCTCCTGCAGTGAGGGAGGGAGTGGGGTTGGGGCAGGTGCTGCCCAGCCAGGGTGGGGCAGGGTG